GGAAGCCGACGCGCGCAATGCGGGAGAAGGCGCGGTGCACCGGGCCGCTGTCGCGGCAGAACTGCAGCACGTGGCGACACACGCTGCCCACGCGACCGTACACGCAGCGCGCCTTGTGCGCGTCCCAGTCCTCGCGGCGGCACAGGCGCGAGCAGTAGTACGTGTAGCAGCTGTGGCAGGACTTGAAGTAGAGGCAGGCGTTGAACATGGTCTCCGTGCGCCGGCAGCGCGCGTTCGAGCAGGTCATGAGGTCGTCCTCGTCCGCGCTGGGCTCTGGCGACGCGTCTGCAGCCTCCCCCGACCCAGCCTGGTCCTCGCCGCTCCCGGCGGAGGCAGGAGGTGAACGCGGCGGCGCCAGCGCGGGGCCCGCGGGTCGCAGGTCCAGCACGCGCCGGAGCTGGCCGCCCGGACTTTCATCCGCGCGCTCGGCGGCCGGCCCCGCCGCGGGCCTGGAGTCGATGACCAGGTCTGTGATCAGCTCGTCCAGCTGCTCTAGGCTGCGCTGGCGGCCGGGGGCAGGGCCGTCGGCGGCCGGGGGCGGGGGCGGCCGCTTTCGGCCCCCGGGCACCTCCCAGGCCCGGGCTGACGGACGCTCCGCGTTGCGCAGGTCGTTGTCGGTGATGGTGATCTCGGGGGTGACGTACCAGGCGCGGCCCAGGCCCTCCCCAGCACGGCCTTTCTCGGACAGCGACGTCTCGGACAGCGACAGCGCCGCGTAGCGCCGGGGCGAGGTGGACAAGTTGACGACGACAGGCGGGCGCCGGCCTTCGGGAGATGTGGCGTGCGGCTCTCGCCCCAGCAGGTTCTCATAGCTGCGGCCTCGGCCCAACGGGTCGTCCCGGCGAGGAGCAGGCGCTAAAATGTTGTCCCAGGAGCGCGAGTAGTGGCGGCTATCAGTGACCAGTCGGGGTGGGCTGGTGCCCGTGCCGCCATGCCAAGAAGCGAGCAGGGGCTCGGCGTCCGGGGGTGGGGCCACCTGCAGGGTGCGGTAAGGCCGCGGTCCCCAGTCGCCCCAGGCTGGGCTGCCTCTCGGGTAAGGGTAGGTCCGAGTCAGGACGTCCCGGTCCCGGTACCGCCCCCACTCCTCCATGCGGAAGGGGCGGGTAGCGGGGCGGGCCAGGGGCTCCTCCGCGGCTACATAGCGCGGTCCATAGGTGTGGGGCGCCTCGCCATAGTAGGAGCGGGAGGGTGGCTCCTGGACCGGGAAGGAGTGAAGGTCCCCCGAGTAGTACCCGCCCACGTGCCGCGGGCTGGGGCCCGGCGGCTCCTCGGACGGGTATGGTCTGGGGCAGTAGCCGTCGAAGGGCGGGCCTGGGCTGACCGTAAAGCCGCTGGGGTAGCCCTCCGGCTCCTCCGTGTAGAAGAACTGCGTGGGGCCGGGCGGGGTGGCGAAGGCCAGGCTGCGGCGCTCGGCGTAGTCCCGGGGTCCGGGTAGGGGCCCATCGTAGTACAGTGCTCTGGGGTCGGCACAGTACGAGTCGCTGGGCGTGGGCGTGCGGGACAACGTCACATGCCGAGGGGGGCCGGGCACAGGCAGGCCGTGCAGCTGCGGGGCGCCGCGGGCCCAGAGCGCAGCGTCCGCGGGCCCAGAGGACCTCGGGCCCCGAGCAGCGTGCTGCAACACCGCGTCGTCCGGCTTGATGTCCAGACGGCAGCGGACGTGCGGGGCGGGCCCTGGGGGCAGCTCTGGTGGTGGGCAGCGGCCGGCGGCGGCGCAGAGGGGTGCAATGCGGCCCGGGCCTCCCCGCTGAGGCTGCAGCTTGATGGGGTGCAGCTCGTTGGCAAGCGCGCGCAGCGCGGGGTAGGCAGGTTCCCGGCGCGGAGACACCTCAGTCCGCGGTGCCCGTTGGGCGTCCCTGCCCCGCCGCGTCAGCACTGGGGGGGAGGCGGGCGCGGCCGGGGCCAGGCCCGGGGGCGCGCGAGGCGCGCTCTTGGAGCGAGCGCGGCGCCGCGTCTCTCCGTCTCGGGGCCGGGGCCGAGGTGCTGCGGGCTCGGGGCGTGGCGGCTCCGGGCGCCCGCGCGCTCCGTGGCCCTCCATGGCCGGCCCGTCCAGCGCCTCCAGGAAATCGAAGCTGCGGCAGTGGCGCTTGTTGAAAGGCACGGGCGCTGCTGGCCGGGCCATGGGGCGTTCACATGTCGGCCGTCGCGTTGCGGGGTCCGGGGCCGCCACCTTGATGTCTTGGTACACGGTTGACACCAGCAGGTCTGGCGGGTCCGTGCGGGTCATCTTAAAGGAGGTCCCCAGGCTGGCGGCTCCAGCTCACTCAGCCTGGCAGGGCTTCCACCCTGCGGAGAAGGGGTAGCTCAGGGACCCCGCCGCAGCCACCAGCTACCCTCGTGTTGAACCGGCTTACCTGGGATGCAGTGGGGGCAGCAGCCCCGCCTGTGGGCCGTGGCCTCGAGCGCCGATTCCATGCCGCCTTGAGTGGCACCTGCGGGAGCAACCCAGCCGTCTGGTCACCCAACCCCCCACCCCAACAGCACCTAAAAGAATTAAAAGCTCCTCCCCATTCCAGGCCCCAGCTCGGCGACTGGGGGGAAGGCAGCCTCAGCGATGTCACTGCCTGGGTCTCTGCAGGGAGCTCCTCCCAGGACCCCCTACCCGTTAGCAGGGAGCATGGCCCCAGAGCGCAGTGGGTGTGGGCAGCCGCTCCCAGGACTTGGTGAAATGCAAGCGTCCCTCACCTTGGGCGGATTAAACAGACCCTCCCCCTGGGGCTGTGAGGCGGCTGCACCCGGCGACGCGCCCCCCGGGAGGAACCGAAGAGTCCAGACTGCAGCCCTGGAGGCTGTCCCACCCGCGGTCTGCAAGCACTCGGGCCCCTCAAGCTCCATGTCTTCGGAAGGAAGCTTCCTGGACGCCACTAGCATGGTTAAGGCCGGCACGACAACCCCGCTCCCCGCAGACACCCCACAGCGCGCGCGCGCACCCGCAGCCTGGCAGCGCGACACTGGACCGGCTGCAAGACCACGTGGGATCGATGTGAGCCACGCTGATAACCGCCGCTCTCCTGGGGCACAGGGGAGCACAGCTTCCGCGGCTCGGAACCTGAGGGGGGGCAGGGGAAGCCAGGCGAGCCCCTCCCCCATGGCTCCTCGGAGAAGGCCCACCTCCAGTGGCGCCAGGCAGCACCATGGAAACCGCGCATCCGCGGCCCCCACGCTGCGGCCTGGATCGGTGGCTCCTGTCATCAGGCCACTGTCCGATGACACTGCGACCCCTCTGAGGTCCCTGAGGCTCAGGAGAGGGCGGGGGCGCCACAGTGCGCCTGCGCCTCGGGCTAGGCGGTTTGTCCGAACGGTCACCTGGCTCCCATCCGGGAGGAGACGCGATGCCCCCCGAAACCGGCTAAGGCCGGGATCGGAACGCAGAAGGCCGCCCCCTTCCTGGCAGGACCTTTTGTGGCGGTGGCGATGGGGGGCGGGGTTCATTAGGTCAGCCCTCAGGGGCCCGCAGGGTACAGGGGATTCTGGTGGACTGGGCCTCCGGTCACAACCCGCCCCCAACTTTGTGCCGTGCGGGCAAGACCATCCTTTCCGTCCCCCTCCCCCTAAGCGCCAAGCCGGGCCAGAATCAGGGTTGGTGATGGGGAGGCTCCGCCCCAGGTGCTTGTCGGCTGCGGCAGTCAGCAACTGGACACGGTGACAGCCCCTCCCCAAGGTTGGCCAGCCCCCTCCGGGGTTTTAGGCTTTCCCGAGCGCTTGCTCGGCCGGCCCTCACCACGGCCCAGGCCCAGTTTCAGCGGGAACCCGCCCGCTGTCGCCGGGGGAGGGGACTCCATCCTTGCAGCCAAGGACGAACCTGGCCCATGACGGCGGGTCGCATGCCCCCTGGCCCCTACCTGGCGCTGCTCCGTCGCCAGAACCTCAGTGGGCTGCGCAGCCCCCAACCTGGCACCACCGCGTCCCCGGCGCCGGCAGAAGCTTCGAGGCAGCAGCGCCGCTTGCCGGCCGGCCGGCCGCTCAGTGCTGCCCCCGGCGGCTACGGCGGAAGCTGCACTTAAAGGGGCAGAGCTCATCTAGAGCCCGCTGAAACTAGGCCTGACCCTGGGGCTACTGAGCCCCACCGGGCTTAGCTCCAGGACACCACCAGAGGGGGGCAGGTGGCTGTCTGAGGTTGAGTGTCCAGAATTGTTCTTCCGGCTCAGCCCCGAAATGAGCAGATGGACAGTCCCTGACTGCCGGTCCCTTCCCAGGACCCATTTGCCTGGGCCAGGGGTGCCAAGAGCTCAGCAGACCAGCCAGGGCCAGATGGCTACACGGCCTTGGCTCAGTGGAGGGCTGCCACTGCCTGGGCCTTCTTGTCAACCTCATGGTGGCATTCTGTGGCAGGTCTCCCAGCCCCTCCCAACAAGCCCCTGACCCCCTGGATGGCCTGCCTTCAAAGGGTTCTTCCACCTGGGTCCTGGCTGGCTTTCTTCCGCTCTTGGCTCTCAGCTTGTGGCCCAGGAAGGTGAGGGTGTGACAGGGCAGGAGGGTCTGGCAGTGCCCACATGGCCTGGTATAGCTCTGGTTCATTGTGGAAGCCCCTTGGAACCTGTTCCCTTGGCAACCGTGGAGGTGGTGGGAAGGGCAGGGTATATGCCCAGGTAGGAACAGGTAAGTGGCCAGGGTGTGGGTGAGGTCTGCCCCTGTCCAGGAAGTGCACCAGGCCTGAGGCCACACTACCAGCAGTACAGTGGGAGTGGTGGTGGGGGTCTGGCTGCTGCCCAATGGTGAGACCACAGTCCTGGTCCAAGGCACACCCCCTGCCCCCCCAGTGCTGTCCATAGCGTAAAGAGCAGTAAAGTGGCCCCCCTGGCGTAATGGAGGTACTGGGCTGTCTCCTGCGACCACACGCACACACACCAACTCCCCCTGGCGCTGTGAGTGCCCCTGGCTGGCTGTGAATCAGGGCAGAGAGAAGACAGGATTCCAGCTGAAACAGGAGCGCTTTATGGCCGAGGGCACATCTGCGGCTGATGACAGAGCCTCAGCCCCGCTGGCCTGGCCACCTGCCCGGCACACCAGGAAGATTTGGGTTCCCTGCGGCTCAACCTGGCAGGCACTGGGGGAGACTTGCCACAGGGCCCCCATGTGGTGGAAGAGGTGCCATCACATGCCAGGGGTGGGGACTGTGAGCGGGGCTGGGGGCAGGCACCCCTGTAAACAGACCCGCAGGTCCCTCTCAGTCACATCCCTGAGAAACGCTGAGGGCCCCAGGGCCGTCCCGCTGCCTCGCCCCCACCTCCTGTAGGGTGGCCACTGCAGCCACCTAGAGTTCCTCGTAGTCCCCGCCCCCGGGGTGCTGGCTGCCAGGGGCCCCACCCCCCAGGAAGGCCTCCAGCTCATCAGTGGCCTCCTTCCTGCTGCGTGGTGCCTTCTTCTTCTTCTTCTCGGCCCTGCCCTCGTCCTTGTCCTTGCCCTTCTTGTGTCTGCTCCTCCTCTTCTCTGCTTTCTCCTCCTCCTGGGCGGGCTGGGCACGGGACAGTCAGCAGGGCTGCAGGCCCCGCCCAATGCCCTGCACACACACCCCACCAGCCCTCAAGCCCTGGGCGGCAGCCAGTCTACCTCCTTGCTCCTCCTCTTCTTCTTCTTCTTCTCTCGGGAGGGGGCCTTGCTGCCCTGGTCTGCAGAGAACACAGGCCTGTATCCCTGTGGGACACTAGGGGGGCTGCCTCGACCCCCCACACTTCAGGGCCACTGTTCCCTCCGCACTTCTCTAGGACAGGGGCCAGGGCACCCATGTGTGCAGTGGCTGACCACCCCTGCCAGGGGAACTCAGAGACTCAAGGTGACACCTTGGGGCACTGTGGACTGAGTCTGCGCATCCACCCCTATGGGCACCAGGCGGCCCCGTGAGCGTGGCTGAGGAGCAGTCAGGGTGGGCCTTGATGGCCTGGGGCAGCAGGCTGCGCCTGGGGAAGGGGTACAGCTCACAGGGGTGCTGACCCACCTTCATCGCTGCTGTCCCTGGAGCCCGGCTCCCCGAGGCCCAGGCCAAAGAGGTCGGTGTCGTTCTCAGGTCTGAAGGGGGGTGCAGGGGGCCGAGGGGGCCGGGCTGGGGGAGTGTCCTCATCCGTCAGGTCAGAGAGGTCCTCTCGGACTGGGAACTGGCTCTGGGAGGGGGTAGCAGGAGGTGGGAGTCACGGGCCAAAGCCCCCGCCTCCGGGCTTCATCGTGTGCCCTCCGGGTCTAGGGGCCTGCCCACACGTGCCTCAGCCTCCACACGTTTTTCTGCCCACACTTGCTGTCAGACAGCCCCTCACCACTTTCCGGGGTGTGTTAGACTCATCGCTCTCAAAGTCCGGGTCATCCATGAGGAAGGACAGCATCTGGGTGGCCACAGGTCCCTCAGGGTCACTCTCTGACGACGCTGCTCGCTCGGCCTTGGCTCCCTCAGGCTCGCAGGGGGCAGCTGTGGTCCTGGATGCCGGCCCTCCGAGGACAGCCTTCCCCTCGCCCTGTGTCTCTGGCCTCTGAGGCTCCTGGGCTGGTGAGGGGCCCACCTGGGCCTGGGGCTTTGGAGGCTTCTGGGAGGGCCTGTGGAGATAAGGTGGGTGAGGGCCTTGAGACAGGGCCCCCCCCCCAATGGCACACGCCTGCTCAGCACTCCCAGGGTCTCCACCTGGAGCCACTTCCTGGCCCCTGCCACACACACCATTTCATCTCTGGCTGCAGGCATGTCTGAGGGACCAGTCCTGTGGCCTCCTCCTCACTGGACAGGGTGACATTCTGGCTGGGAAGGGGGTCGGCGCACGGCGGGGCTCTGTCTTCCAGGTCCACGTCATCTTGAAAACCGGTCACCAGAGGGTTGCCACCCAGGGCCTCCCCGTCACTGCACAGGGCAGGGATGAGGTCAGAGGGGGACTCCATCCCTGTCCCTGGACTTGATGCCACCCTGTAGCCAGGGTGACAGGGCTAAGTTAGGGCTCTACACCAGGGTGGGATGAGGCAGAGCCGCCTGGGGTCTGGAGCCAGGGGCTCTGAGTGGTGACGGGGAGCCTGTGGTGGGGGGTCCTGGACAGCTGTGTTGGGAACAGGTGAGATGCCTGGGAACCACAGGCTAGGCTGTACCAGGAGAGCATGGCCTGCCCAGGGGTGGGCTGGAAAGAGTGGAGATCCCCCTCACAGACAAGTCTTCCCAGGAGACACTGGGCACAGCCAACTTCTGTCACGCCGCCCCTGGGCCGCAGTACCAGGTGGTGGAGGCCACACCTGCAGTCTCTGCAGGATCCCACAGCCCCCACCTGTCGCTCTCCTGCTGGGGGCGCTTGGTCCTCTTCTCCTCTGGTGGGGGGGCAGCATCCTCCAGGAAGCTGCGGTCCAGGCTGTCTTCAGGAACAAAGTCCTCCACCTTGGATGCCTTGGCCAGGGCCTCTGTGGCCAGGGACGGCTCTGCAGACAGACATAGGGCTCCCTAGGTGCCTTCCCTGATTGGGCAATTGGGAGGGGGAGGGTGGCGGCATAGCAGCCTGGGCCAGCCTACCTGGGGCAGGGGGCGCCGGCTCAGCAGCAGGTGAGGTCCCAAACAGGCGTGAGATGATGCTGCGGCGAGGGGCCGGGGCCGGGGCCTGGGCCGGAGCAGTGGCAGGGGGCATGGAGGCTGGGGCCTGTGGGGACAGGGCCTCTGCCCCCAAGGACAGGGGTGGCGGGGGTGGGCTGGGGGCAGGGGCTGGTGGTGGTGGTGGGGCGGGCTGGGGTGTGCTGGGGCTGGAGCTGCTGGGGGAGGCAGCACCCACAGGGACGACGGGCGACTGGGATCCGGAGGCTGGGCTCTGCCCGTTGGCCATGTGGCCTCGGCCTCGGGCCTCCATCATCTCCAAGAAGCTGAGGACAGAGGGCACGAGTGAGCATGCCATGCAGGGCCCAGCCCTGCCACAGCCCGAGGACACCCTTGTTTGGCACAGGGCCGGGAGGCAGCTTATGAACAGTCTGCAATGAGCACCCACAGCACAACCTGGAAGTGCATGGTGGCTCCTTCCCGCCCTCAGTCGGCAGCCTCCTGGGGTCGCTGCCTGGGTGGAGGGAGCCGTGTGCCACTTGCAGGCGGTGCCTACAAGGCCAGGTCACCATAGGCCAGCTGCTGGCAGGACAGGCTGATGCTTGGCCTTGGGGTGCACAGCCCCTCCAGTGCCAACCCCCCACCCCCACCCCAAGGCACCAGAACATGAAGTGACAGGAGAGTCACCTTCCAAGGTCCATTCTGCCCAGAGGTCTCCTGATCACAGTGGGCTCTCCCTGGCATACTGAGGCCCCGCTGACATGGGGTACACCCAGGAGGAACCTGGAAGGGGGGCAGCTGTGCCAGGCCCAGGGGGCCCAGAGGCACAGGCTAGATGCCTGCAGCACTGAGCCATGCTCAGCCCTCTAGCTCACACGACATGGCAGCCCTGGGTAGCTGGCCAGCCAGGGACAGTGACTGGGGGCGGGGTTGTGAGCATTCCCCAGGGGGTACTGCTCTGGTCTCCTGGCCTCTCAGTGCATTAACAATGCAGGCTGCTGGGAGGAATCAAGGGCCGTACCCTTCCTGAGAGGGTTTGCTGGGCAGAGTCCCAAACCTCACCCGGCTTCCCGAGCATGGCTCATGGTCAGCTCACAGGCCTGACAGGCGCCCGTGCAGACCATGTGTGGGGGCAAGCACGTACATCTCATAGTTCTGGTCCTCGGTCTCCTGCTGCACCTGCAGCTCCTCTAGCGTGGCGTCAATGTCCAGCTGGTTGGTCTCCAGCTGCCGCAGCAGGGTCTCCCTCTGAGGTGTGGGAAACAGAAGGATTTCTCCCAAGTTGTCTCCCCCAAATATATGCCAGACTTAGCTGCTTACGAATGACTATACACTTGGAGGTCATCAAGAATAGATCAGGGGTCATTCTCCCTAAGAGCTATCAGCCATCTAGACCAAGCAGACACCACTGTTTATCCCACAACAAGTAGGGCCCACTCCCTTCTGATGAGGATAGTAGTTGTCTGTTTCCTTGTAGGAGACACCAGAGAGGTCAAACCCGCCCAAGGATGACCAAGGTTAGGCCGCCATCATGAATCTAGGGTCCGCCCATCTTGTCACATGTGTACCCCTAGTCCCTCCCATTCCTATGGGCACACCCCTAGCTCATCCCTTCCTGTTACGCTTATGCCTGTCATACATCCCCTTCCTACGATGTGTATGCCTATTGTACTGCCCCTTCCTGTGATGTGTGGTTACCTGTAATCATGTCCCCCTAATGAGAGATAAACCTTGGTTAACAATAAAGTGGGGACTCTCCTGCTCTCATGGCCGGGCTCCCCCCACGAGGACCACCAAGCGGGCTGAGGTGAGCATGCTACCATGATTTGTGTCTGACTCCATTATTCCAATCTCGATGACTTTACTATAATCTTTACTTATTATCACTTTACAGTTGAGCCTATCAGACCTGTGATGATTTGTGGGGGACCCCCCTTCGCCCCACACTGAGGGAGGGAGGGAGGGGCAGGGTCTGAGCGGCCAGGCTTGCCCAGGCCCATGATTCCCCATCACCCAGGCAGTCAGGGCTTCAGTGAGGTGAACACTGCTGAAGAAGCTCTCGTGCCTCCTGAGGGTCTCTAGACCCCAGAAATGCCACCCCCCTTCTTCCCCCCATAAGTAGGGCACCTTCATGCCAGGTGCTTCAAATCAGAATTCAACCAGGCACTGCCCACTGTGACTAGTCACTGTCTCCTCCTGGAGACAGCTGGACCCTGGAATGTGTGGCATGATCAGGGGTGGTGTGTGTACGGGGTGTGTGTATAGTTTCCTGGAGACTGCTGCCACCTGCCCAGCCTCAGGCCCAGCATGCCCAAGGGCTGGCCTGGCCTGAACCTGCTGGCTTGGGCCCGAGTATGGCTGCTCAATCTCCCAATGGGTTCTCACAAGTCCCATGGCTGCAGGGACATGCCCTCTATCTGCCCTGCCCCATAATGGTACTCAACACCCATCACCCAGCAAACATTCCCAGCACGCACTTACAGCAGTTAAGGTGATGGGTCAGGAAAGGGTTAAAGAAAACCGCTCAGGTAAGCTGGGGGGGAGGGGGATGTGCTCCCACTGGGAGGGGCTCTCAGAGCTGTGACACTGGCCCCTGGGAATGGCCACAAGGCTGCCTGGGCAGACTGCTCTGCAGGCACTGATGGGTGTGGGCAGCGCCCTGTCCCACCTCTGGGCCGGGCAGGCAGGAGCCCTTCAGAGGGCGGCAGCCCAGCGAGAGCCTCCCACCTGCAGTCTCCTGACAAAGGGCCTGGGCCCGCTCACCTGCAGTTGCAGGAAGGGGATGTTGAAGAACTTGTGCAGATACTTCAGGCCAAAGCTGTTCTTCATGGAAGACTCCGCGTAGCGGAAGTAGGAGGAGCCTGGGGGCCTGGGTGAGAGTGGTGAGCACAAAGCGTTGAGCCCAGCGCCCCCCACCCCAGGGCGCAGGTCACGGGCGGGCTGCCTCACTCACCTGTCCAAGTGGTCGATGAGGTCACGCACGTCGTCAGGCAGGATGACGCGGTGCTCGCCCATGTCACGGTGGTTCCCCAGCACGCACACAGGCACGTGGGTGGGCACCTTGGGCAGCTCACGCAGAATGTAGTGGAAGGTCCTACAGGCAGGCACAGGCTGTGTGAGGTCTCGCCCATGGCCAGCTCCCTGGCACCTGCTCCTTGGTGGGGGGCTGCCCAGGGCACTGGACTGGGGCAGTGCTGGCAAGTGGGGGAGCATGGTGAGGGGCCGGGGTCCCTTGCCCCAGGAGGCCTCCTGCAGTGTAGCCCTGCTGACCCATCCCCAGCAGGTCTGGCCCTGGGGTAAGGGTCTCACTGGCCCGGCTGAGCCCTCGCCCCAGGAAGCTGCCCTGGTCCCCCAGGCACCACCTGGATGCCCACAAGGCCAGGCCAGTCTGTCTCGCTGCTGCAGGCCTCTCAGGCAGCTCCTGCCCAGCACCTGGGCCCTGGCCCTCTGCTTGCCGCATGCCTCGCCTTCCCTGGGTGTCAAGGTGCTCTTAAGCATCTTGACTACTGTGACCTGAGACAAGTCGTCGGTGACGTCTGCTGCATGGACCTCAGCTGGTCGTTCCCAGGGCTACCTTCCTTCTCTGTGCCTGGGGGCGGGGAGCACACGCATGACCACAGCTGGCTGTGGTGAGGCCCTGGGAAGCTGGAACAGGGTGTTCTTGACCCTGTGCTGACTGCGTGGTCCTTTGATGGGTGTCCTCCTAGTGAATGGGGTGCCCAGCACCCCACACCCTCCCTGGCCATGCCCCTGCGGGAGTTTGTGCCAGCCGTACCACTGCTTGGTGATGTCAAACATCATGACCACGCCATTGCAGTTCTTGTACACGTCCAGGAACTCTGCATCCAGTGCCAGCTCAGAGTCCGCCTAGGGAGGGAGGGAGCAGGCAGGGAAGACTGACTGACAAGCCCGACTAGATGCACTACCTGAAAACTGGTGGAGGAGGGGTGTGTTGGAGAAACAGGGGGAGACTACGAGTATAGAGCAGTGCTGTCAGCTACGCCCAGGCACCCCCCCGCCCAGCCCAGCCTATCCTCGGGGTCCCGGCCTCCTGTCTCTGGGCCGGCAACCCTGGGGCCCACGTACCTCTTGAGGGTCGTTCTCCATTTTCAGGCCTTCACCCCGCTTTTTGCATTTCCCTTATGAGAAGACAAACCAGTGTGGGAGAAGCGCTGGCCCCCAGGAATGCCCGGCCTTCACTGCTCCAGCATGGGGCCCCCTGGGCAGCCGGTCCTCTGGACACCTAGATCAGGGGGCCAGGCGAGCACCCTGCCCTGACCTCTCCTCTGCCCCCCCCACCCCTCAGGACCGTGAAGCAGGGAGTCTGGCTGCGTCCTTGACCCCGTGGGGCCCAGGAGAAACCGAGATCCAAATGGGCAGGGTCTTCAGCTCTGGAAACGTGGTGGCCCCCAAGTGCACACACTCCCCTGCATATCCTGCCCAGCCAACGTGCACATGCGCCCCATGCACAACACCCCTCCCCAGCCCCCCATCGTCCCAGGACAGAGTCTTCACCAGAAGGAGCCAGCTGGGCCCGCAACCCGCCCCTCCCTCAGGAACCTGAGTGCCTCCAAGTCTGATCCCCAAGGCCGCAGCTAGCTGGGGCAAGGAAGCGTGTGGTAAAGGGTCCCCCATTCAGGTGTCTGCTCCTTGGAGGAAGCAGCCTGAGGCCCTGAAGTGGGGCAGCATGCTGCGCAGCCCCCATGTGTCAGGTGCTGGAGGTTTGGGCTGGGGGTGGGGCTCACTCCCACACACGTGCACACATACACGCCTGCTGAGAGTAGGCGGGACCTGGCCGTCCAGAGCTGCCTAAATCCCAGGGCAGCCGCAGTGGGCGGTGCTCCTCGGGGCCAGCGTCTTCCGTAGGTCGGGCACTGCTCTCGACCCAGGTCTCGCCTCCCAAGGGGTGGGAGTGAGGGGTTGGTGACCCAGGTAGCAAGCACCACTGAGCGGGTGTGCTGTAGGGGTCACGGCACTGCACGCACACACACACGCACACACACACAGCAGCGTGGCGCAGAGCCACGTGCAGCGCTCACCCCTCGTGTCACTGAGGAGGAGCTTGTGGCCTGGGAGCAAGGGGACAGAGCAAGAGGTCAGGAGGCCCCAGCCGCCTGGCCACCACAGCCTCACAGACCTTATCCGCCCCGCTGCCAGCACAGTCCACGCCAGCCCCTCCTGCAGCCAGGGACGGGGTGGGGGTGGGGTGTTCTGGCTCTGGGTGATGCTGGGGAATGGAGACAGACCCAGGCTCCAGGTCCTAGAGGACGGCACCCCGCGAGGGCAGGGTGAGCGTGCGACCCAGTCGGAGGACACTCACCTTTGTCCACCACGTCCCAGACCTCCACCTTCACAATGTCGTCTGTGGCTGCAATGGAAAGCGCTTCTGAGGGTGCCCCAGGAGGTCCCACCTGCCCCCACCCCTGGCCAGGCAGCGGCCCCTCGCTCACTCTTGTAGTTCCAGTGGATGCTGGTGACCTGGATCTCCTGCGTGGGGATGTACTCCTCCAGGAAGGGCTTCCCCTGCAGCCGGTGCCACAGCGCCGTCTTGCCCGTGTTCCTGTCCCCCCGGATGACGATCTTCACTGTGCAGAGAGCAGACAGGAAAGCTGAGGGATTCAACCCTGGCCAGTGCCCAGCAATGTCAACAGACCACCAGGGCCATAGATCCTCGGCTCCGCCCCTCCCGGCTACACCCCACCCCTGCTAAGGCATCATTGCTCCGACCCAAAGCGATCTAGATTCAAATCTGACCACAATTCCAATAGCCCTTCTTAGAGAAATGGAGAAGCCTGCTCTGCCAGTGCCTGCTGTCCCTGTTCAGAAACCCAACAAGTTGTCTGCTCCCAAGCTCCTGCTGCTCCCCGTCCAGATAAACCAACAAGTACATGCTGCTCCTCTGCCACCAAGCCCTGGGGGTCCAGTTCCTGTAGACAGCCTGCTGGATACCTGTCCAGCTGCACCGAGCAGGCTCTGCCGTCTTCCTTGGCACCAGGCTCCCTTTCCCACCCCCTCCCTCCTTCCTTTCTTCCTCGGAGCTGAAGGCCCGCAGTCCATGTTGCCACACACTGCCCACAGCCTCTATGCTGTCCCCAGTGTGTAGTCTAAGTCCTACGAGCGCCCCATTGGCCCAGCTTTCAGCTTGAGCCTGCTGACTGGCTGGATGCTGTGGCAGTTACACCATCTGTTGTCATTTGTTTCCGCCTGGTCTCAAACCAGGGACCTTTTGCGTGCTAGGCGAACGTGATAACCACTACACTACAGAAACCTCATCTGTTGTCATTTTTGAGACTTAAGAGTTAAGGAGTGTAGATGAGCCTGTCAATCAGGTGGCAGCTTGATGACCTCATTTGGTGGCGCTAAGGAGATAAATAGCTCCCTGGAGGCTGGACACACATGCACTCCCTGCGAGACATTCTTGTTGAGACCCAAGGAGCTCCGCTAGCGCCCTGGAGCTGGAGGAGCTGGAGGAGCCACGTGGAGACCCCTGTCAGTGCTGAGATGCTTCCACCCCACTGGATCCACACGACTTTCCACCCACGGGCCTGTGATCTTTCTTCCTGCATTCGGCATCATTGCACGCGCTGCATGAGTCTGAAGAAGAATTTACAGACTGGTAACGGACATGCAGGATTTACAGACTTAACCTGGACTGGGGTGTCTTAACATGTAATTGCTCTTTGATATAAAGTTCTCTCTTATACACACAAGTAGTCCTAGATTTGTTTTAGTCCACCTGGACTGACCCAGCTGCTAACACACAAAGGATCCTGCATAGCTCACGCATGCATTCCCCCCAGCCCCCGGTGGAGGGGCCTCTTTCCGAACTCTCTCTGCTCCAGAGGACCCGTCTGTCGTACCTGAGCTTCCTTGCTCTGTGAGCACCTTCCTTGTCCAAAGCCCTGTTCCTGTGGGCACAGTGGTAGGGTTCTACAAGCTCCTGCCCCTCCCAGAGACCACCGCCCCTTTGGTTAACTGCTTGGGTGCCTGCTGACTGACGGGCTTCCACACAGAGCTCTGGGTGGCTACTTCTCCCCACCCAGCATGTCCTCCCAGGGCATCAAGTACAGCGCTGGCTGTGGATGAATGCCCTAGTATTCATGCAATCACCCCTCCTTTCTGAGGCCTTAGCACTTCCCCGATGTAGAAATCCTCATTTTGCCTTGCTGAGTTTTCCTTTGTATCCCCGCAGCCTAGCTGACCAGCTGGGGC